GCATCGTTACAAAATTTTGGATTTATAATATTAATAGAATGGTCATTAGATTTCTATATACTTAATGTACTTCTTGCTACTAAATTGTTAAAAATTTTCCGCGCAGAATTTACTGCACTAATGCGGAAAATCCGCAGTTCTCATTAATATGCGGGAAATCGCTAGAATGCGGGATGCGAGATTGCAAACCACACATATAATGTAATAGTGAAATCATTGGACACATAATTTAATACTTAAGCCATCAAGACGAGCAACGTATGACTACTACTCCGGTATCGCATACATTATTGTATATTCATCAAAGCTTTCCAGTGAACGACATACATATATTAAATCGTATAAAAAAATCTTCAAGAAGTGCAAGAAAAATTGCAATGCCAGTTCCGTTAGATCGTATCTGCGTTGGGTTGGTGACGGAGGGCCGCCGGCCGGGCCTATTGTGGGTCGACCTTGGCCCGAACGGTCCCTCGATCCCTGAGAAAATCTGCCACACGATGCATTTTCACATCTACTAGGTCAAGTCTCCGATGGACTCTAGAGAACGTAATAATGGAATTACAGATTGTTCTATTAACAAATGATTTATGATTGTTTCGAGGGCTTTTCAAATATTTGCAAATTGTATCTTTAAGATTAATGATAATTCGAACCTTTACGGCCAGTATTTTTTTTTTTACTGTTGAAGGGTATTATAAATGATTTTTTCTGATGGGAAGTAAGAATGAGAACGAAAATGGAGTTCGCAAACTGATAATCAACCTATTAACTTTTACTTTAAAGAGATTTAGATTTTAAAGATCAGAAAAAAGAAGCTGGGTGGAAATTATATTTTCAAGCCCTAAGCTATGCGCATGAGGAAAGAAAACACAAAGAGTTACGTTTCTTACGATTTTGAATAACAAACAAGTCGAAGAGTATCTGATGGAAAGTAATCGTTACATATATAAATAGATATAAACCCTAGTTAGGAAGCTTGTTATCATTTTAAAAGTATGTTGTCATTTTCGAAGACTAAGATGTTACGGTCCATATTGAGTACTCGTCGTTATTGGGTTAACCTAACGTTTTATTGAGAATTTATACATATTAATAAAAAAAAATCTAGTTCTGTTCATTTGAATATTACATACATTGGCATTCCTCAGAGCTTATGTACTATTATATTGTTTATATGTAGTATTACGTTGCTCACATGTTCTTTTAGAATTAAATACATGGTGACCATTTTAAGTGCATATATAACTGCATGTTAACTTTCATATTTGATAATTATTTTTTCATTTTATATTTGACTTACCACAGAAATAAATCCTCATAATAATTATTTATTTATTTGATTAACTAGGTAAGTTTTACTGTCTCTCGATATCGCTCATCTAGGAAAGCGACAGTACAATAATGCATTATTTACATTTATAATTAAAAGAAATAATATTACAGATAAAAAAAACATTTGTATATTAAATATTTAAACATTAACACTCTGTGGTTGTCCGACGAAACTCCAGCAAGTTGACGGCAAATACTGCATATAATCTAATTGTTGTTACTGGCTCAAAACATCATTACGCAGTTTTATAATACAAATAATAATAATGCAAGAGAGAGGATAGCTTGTTATTCTATCTATCATTGGAATCGTTTACAAGTACAAATAAAACACAATTTGATTTGAAAGGTTTAATAGAATTCTTTTCATGTCATTGTCAATAGGTTACATGTTCCACTTAAATTATTAATAATTGATTATAACAATAAAAAATAAAAATAAAATGTAGAACAATTACATAAATCAATACTCCTCTACCATATTAAAATGTTAATCATACATAGGTTCTACCTAATGTTGTAATTTTCTTTACAAGAAAAGGAAATTATTTAAATAGAGAATTTCACTAATCAATCATTTAATTTCATAATTGATTGATTGATATGTAGAAGATTAGCTGTGTCAAATACTAATTTATAATTGTTTATAATGTAATTTAATTTTATTTATAGTACAAAATTTAGTATAATATTTTATTATGATCAGATAAATAATAATGTTTTATTAAATTTTGTTAATTGACACAATTACTCTTCTAGCAATATATATTCTAATTTTAAATTAGAAACAGATGTTTTGTTTAAATATTTATTTATATATTTTTTTTGAGGTTAAACGAAGTGCACAAAGGACTGAGCGAATTCCGGACGGAATAGAAACTTTCAAAAGCACTTATCATATCGAATTTTTCTCGTCTCTACAAAGAACGAAGGCTACTTCTGACAAATTGTTATCAAGATCTAACTTGAGTACTTGAAAAGTATTGCAAACTGACGCCATGGGATTTTATTGTCCTTCAGAACTTTGCTTCACCTTAATTTATTATTGATATAAAAAAGAAAGATCCACGTCAATCATTACACAAATCTAATAAAAAAAAATAAGGTCTTAAAGTTATTGTAGTGTTGTAGACGAAATAAAGCATCAGTGGAGCCGAATTCTTACTAAAAAAACGTAATTTTGTGTCAACTTATTGTTATATTGTTACACAATTTGCAAGAACATTACGTCAGATTTTGAAAATGTATTATTTGGTTAAATGCGTTCTATTTACTACTGTTTTTTAATCTCTGATTGTGTGTCTTGTTTTTCTATTACATAATTTTTTTTTTTATTTCAACGAGATATTTATTGTAGTCCACAGATGGTAAGATAAATATTAGCTATAATAACAAAATAGCAAGTACACTAATGAAGAGTATAAGAAATTAATATGACAATATGAAAATGTACCTATAATAAAAAACAAAACACGGTAAGATAGAAGAATACACATCGTGAAGTCGAAATCATTAGCAACATTTTAAGTACTTAAAACTTAACAGGGCATATCGTATTAGTATGGAACGTTCAGAATTTTTAGTTGTTTTTCTTTTGGAAAAAAACTATTTTTATTATTTTTTATTAAGGATTATTTTTTTATTGACAACATATAAGTAATTAATATAGGAATGACATAAATCAGTTAACTTTTTAAAAACTGACAAATCAGAGCAAATGTGACAAATGTAGAAAAAATAATCAAAATAAATACATGAGTATAACGATCAAAAATAAATAATTTTGTATTTAACTAGAAGGAATTTACGAAAAGTTACATGTTTATTATACAAATTTAAGCCTTCACTGAATATATTTAAAGATAAAAACGGCTCATTAGAACAATTACAGGTTCAAAGAAAAGTGTTATTCATATAATTTGTATGTGCAAAAGAAATACTAAATTATTTACTATTACTAGAATTCAACCGGGATCGCCTAACATTAGCATTCTTTAAAGAAAAAAGAATTCAACGAGATTATTTGTAATTTTGTATTAAAATGTATTCTGAAAAAATATTCATTTAAAGGAATGCTTATGATTTCGATTTCATTTTACATAAAAATCAATCTTAAATTTGTTTACATTTGAATAATTAAATTTATTAAACATAATAATAATGTATTAACCTTTATTTCGAGTAAGTTAACATTAAATATCTTATAGTTTTATTTCTGATCTAGGCACGACTGATTTGTAAATCTTAATAATGTTAAATAACTATAACTTTTTGATTTGGAATTTGGGAAATAACAGCATCTTAAAATATATTATATTTTTTATTTATTTTTTATTACTTTGTTAATAATAATATGTTAATTTTGTTTAATGCCGAGTAATTATAATAATTAGTTAATGATGTTAATTATATAATTAATGTATTTATTTACACAATTTAAATTGAATGTCAGGTAATTTGTGTGATCTATCGATATCGATACTTCAAGATAATGTGACTACAAAATTTATCATTTTGTTATCTATCTATTCTATTTAAGAGTTGCGCTCTTGTCGGTGGAGCTCTTAAAGCTCTTAGCTCTTCTTCTCTTATTTTGTTAATAATAATTAGTTTTGTTTATTTTGTTTAATACTGTGGAATTACAATAATTAATTTATGAAAACAATTTTTATAATTTGTTTATTTACATAATTTAAAGAAAGTGAGTAATTTATTAATTTGTGTCTTCTACTGATACTACATGTATAATGTAACGACAAAATAAAAATAAATATGGTTACGACTATAATCACTAATGGGGTAGTCAGAGGTATTCGTCGACTGTTGTCGTTGTGCTAATGTAAGTCTAGGTTTTAATAGCCACTGCTGCCCTTTCATAAAAGCCTTACATCTCTAGGTTGAGTCGGTTCTGTCGTTTGCTTTAATTAAATTAGTTGCATAGAATTAATTACATTCTGTAATTAGTCTTTATATGTGCTTCTAGTCAGTTAATTTAAATCGTCATTATTATCTTTAATATACTACTTAATACTGTAGAATATTGTATCAAATGAATTTATAATTTGAGAGAAATATCATAGTTGATTGTAGTTCTAAAAACATTATTTATTTCCAGGTGATTCACATATGAAAAAAATTGTCCTTTTTTATTTTTTGTTAAAATAGTAGGTATATAAAAAAATTACGTTCGCATAGGTTCCTTTTTTGAAATGGTTACATTTAATATCTGTTTTCATGGAAAGACCCTCGCGGTGCAGGCAGAGATAACTAAGTGCCAAAAGTTTTGTGCCACACTAGCTTTTTACCCGATACTTCATTCGTACGGATTTCTAAAGTAGATAAACTAATGAAATAGTACAGTTTTAGATCGCGTATTTAGATAAAATATACATGAGTTTTTAAAATAAGACTATCAGAAATACAATTGTGGGAACTGCATCTAATTTGGCGTTATAATTTTTATGTGATGGTGAAACAAACATATCGTCATAGACGTAGAATACCGACGGATCATTATATGTAATATTTGTCAGATCCGTCAGTATTCTACGACTATGACGATATAGTCTCAGGCAGACAGACAAAATTATCCTATTAAGACGCCTCATATTATTTTTTTCTTAAATATCTCCCATGTACAGATATTGTTTAGATAGATTTTGTTATTAAAGATTTAAATTATATAAAAATTTATTTCATCCATTAATGAGAGGTGGAGGTATGAAATGAGCTCATTACAAAAAAAGGGTACATTCACATATCCCTTTTTCATAATTATAAAGACCTGATTACACTTTACAAGTATATATTGGGTTTTGCCTACATTTTATCTTATCTTAATCTTATAATCAATTTGATCCAAATCGCTGCGTTCAATTGAGCTAGTTACCTATATGTGTACATAGATTATATAGATAGAGCATCGAGCCTCAAAAACGGGTCAATTTTTTCTCAGCTAATTGTCAATTTAGCTGACTCGTTTTTTTATTAGTGTTCTATATAATTAACCATAAAATGGTATCTTGATTTATTATTTAATAAATAAAATGAATGTTTACGTATTAAAAATATGCAGAAATTATAATAGAAAATAAATATAGAAGTTATAAAGGAATCACTCATAACTATTTATCATGCAAAATCTTATGAAAAAGTGGACCCATTTTTCTCGAAGAATTTCTATGGAGACACTGCATCTATATAATCTAAGATGTGTACATAACATACTTGTGCAAAATTCCAACTTATATGAAATCGGATGATAAAGCAATATTAAGATGTCCTTGAGTTTGCCTTGTGTCTGAAAGTGTCTATACAAACTTATTAAGAAGATACAGGCCCATTGAATTTGGGTTGGTTTGATTGTCACGGTGTAAGTTGGTTGACAGACATTGATCAGGGTCTCACCATGGAGCTGATATTCTTTATAATAACTTGTTATATAATACTAGTTGTTACCAGTAACTTTGTCCGCGTAACCTGGATATGTCGATTGATTCAAATTAAAAAAAAAAAAAACTTATATCCTAAATAGTAAGGGTAGGTATACTATTTCATGACGATTAATTGAGCCGTTAAGAGTTAACAAACAAATAAACTTTGACATTAATAATAATATTAGTAAGGACTCTTATAAGTATCTATTAATTTTATGTAATTTGGTAGCTTTGTAATCAAATAAGATTAGGCAATTTAAATATCTCATTTACTTTGTTTTCAAAATTGACTTTCACAAAATCTCGAACAGTTGTGTTTTCGAGTAGCTGTCAAAAGTAAATTATAAGAATGGGAAGGGATGCAAACTCGAACACCAAAGAGGTGTAGAGTTTTGAAATTTCCTTTGAAGAATCACTGGAGTTTTTAAAAATAAAACAAAGTGTTAAATAATAAATACACACTGGATATTGAGCCTTGTAGTGATCAGTATTTAAGTTCTTAATTGACCATATTAATTTAATTATAGTGAATACCTTAATACTAGTCATATTTACAGTGATATACCAAGGGTAGTTTATATATTTGGCCATATTAGTTTGCTAGCATTATTATACTTGTATCTAAATTGTTCGGGAAAGTTCTCTACACTAATTATGTATGTATATTGAACATTGTTTTAGAATTGGTAGCAGCGTGTACCTAATTATAGGACGTATTTGACAGGGCTAAAATAAAATTATAGGTGATAGTTTCTATTCCAGAAATATTACAATTATTTAACTAACAAAATTAATACGAGTATAAACACGGAAATAAGCATTCTAACACTTTTCTAAGGTTGACTGGGAGAGAATGCTTTTAATATTAAGTCCGCCAAGTACACATGTCCTGTACTAAAGAATAAATAAATTATTAAATAATTATTCTTAGAATAAATTAAGTAACTAATTGATATTAAAAAGAAACATAAATACTAAATTTTTACTTTACTAATCAATTAATAAATTATATAAATTAATTATACCAATAATTTAGATTTCAATTAATAAATAAAATAAGTGTATGGGTTGTACAAAATCTAAAAGAGAAGTCAACAGAAATATAAGAATAAGTCCGTGAATTATTTTTAATGGTTTCAAAATTTTTATACATCTAAGATATGCATATTAATACATAAATATATAATAGGTTCATCTATAATAATATATCTAATAAATATATTTATACCATCATAATTGCTTAAAAATTCTGAAACGAAAACAATGTCAAGATCAAAATATAAAAGAGACTACGAGAAAAACCATTTCTAATTTGAAACTCAAAATTAATTTCGAGCTCATCCACTTACTTAAAAAATAAAATAAAGGGAAAAGAAGAGATTTCTACAAGTATCTCCTTAATTCAATTGTTACGAATTTTCCTTGGTTTGTTTTTTAATTAAAAGGTATAATGAAAGATGACTTGTATCTAATGTAAGAAAACAAAACGAAGCAAAAGATGGCTATTTTTTAATTAAATTTTCTTATTTAAATTAGATTAAGATGAAGTCATAAATAATTTATGATTTAATATCAAGAAAGCGATTCTAATAATAAATGATTGGCATGTTATTTTAAAATTAAAGAAATAGGTAATGTAATGATAAATACAGTAATAATATGCATTGTTTCTTAATATAGCACCACACTTCTAAATTTTGCGTCGAACGCTCTAAAAATATCTACTTATAAGTACATACAACAGATATGATAAAGAGAGAAAGAGACGAGGATACTACTGGAAATATCAAGAGATTAGGATTACCTTAATGCTAATAGTTAATAATTATAATTATTTATTGGTACCATGCTTTTGAACATGCATCACCCAATTATCAAAATACCTTTTAAAACAACATAAATCTTAAATGAATATACATTGATATACTAAAAACCTAAGATTCACAATAGCATACAAAAGATTATAAATATGCCGAATTTAAACTGTAAAAATAAACAGCTATCATAGGATAAGGTATGAGTATAGTAAGAATATATTTAGAAAATTTGTCGGAATATTCCTGCACGTTTCACAACAAACGTCGATTGTTAAAAATGAGTACAAAATTGGGTTAAATACGTTCTATTTAGTATGCCATATCTTTAGTATTTAATTGTATATCTTATGTTTTTATATATCAATGTTATTACACTAAACTTTAGGCCTTTCGCTACGTTTAAACACAAAAGCAAGTTAACAGCATAGTAACAGAAGAAACATCAAAATTGGTCCGAAAATTACAGACATGCACAGTTTTTAAACATTCGTTATTGTGAGCCGCCTTGGACTTCTGGGTCTGTTTAGATTTGTCACGGAACCCCTGACGTGGACTTGTACAGACCCCGAAGGCATATCTACAGCTGAATGTAGACTGGCAGCTCTTGAAGTCCGTGGTGATGGTACACAAACCCTCAGGTCCACGGCGCTATGGAGACTGGCTGCTCTAGAGGATCGTGGGGTAGTTGCGTGGGCGTTATCTGATGGTGGAACGAGGGCTGGGATATCGGCAGCTGAGCGTGATCGCCTCGGTGGACTTTCTGGAATGAGAGCCATGCCGCCCAAACTTCCAACGAAAACGGAGTTCTGAAAATATAGTCATCAACATGTTTATAACATCTATTAATGTTCATTAGACTGGTAGAGATAGATCTTCTACTAACACGGCAGCTACGGATATCGCTTTATTTCGATTTTTCTTGTAAATGCTTCTTCTAATTTGTTCTACTGATCATCCGAGCACAATAAGGAGCTCTGCCACATTATGTTTTATTATCACATGTACTAAAAGTACAGGGATATTATATTTTTTAAAGTTACTTTATTATTATTTTTGCAATTGATAGGATTTAGTCCCCTTGTTAGACTTATATTACTTTTGTAAGTTGATTTTCGCTTTAACTAAGTTTCACTATACACGTATATGATTCTGGCTTAATAGCATTTAAAAGGTCAACTCATACACGCCGTATAGGAAGACTCCAGACTTCTCTCACAAACAGTTCACGAGCTATAATTAAAATTTCACAATACCTGTCTCGGGCGATGAGATAAGTATCCGCACGGTTGATAAGCTGGGAAAGTACTCCCACAGTCATAAGACACGCAGCCTCTCGACAGCGATGCCCGGTGCTGTATTGAAGTGAAACAAATTATTTTTTAATATAACTTGTAGTGGCAAGGATGCTTACAATCTATTTAATGTTTACCAGAGGGAGACTTTGAACAAAAGTCGATTGCTTGGATACCTCTGTCCCATTCGTGTTTCTACCGTAAAGCAGTTGTGTTTGCATGGCTGTGTTTCGGTTTGAAGGGTGGGAAATGGCGTGATTTTACTGGGTACGGAGGAATAACACCTGAGTCCTCAGGAATGGCAACGCATAGGGGATATCATGGGGGAAACAGTATACTCTATGTCCATGGTACTGCTCATGTCTATAGGCGACGGTTACCACTATCCATCAGGTGAACCGTCAGCTTCTTTGCCATTCTAAGTTGTATAAAAAAATATAAAATAGTATCCATTACCATCCAGACATGAATGACGTTATATATATCACACAATATAGAGTAATGGCTGGAGGACGCTATACACGTTTAATTTCTGATGATAAAGGATTTACTGATAAGGAAACATCACATTTATTAACTTTAAGACTTTCGTCGTGCTGTATCTTTTAGAAAGACGGGAATTAATTGATCATTTCGGCAAACCTGTTGGTAGTTTCGGCATAGAATGGATCATCTCTTTCTTTTCCGTAAGTGTCGTAAGACCTCTTAACATCGTTACCGTTAAGTTTCCTTAGTCGCCACTAAGGGAACTTAACAGTCCAGGGATGAGCAGCAGCGTCCCTATTAAAACATCACCAAAGCTTAAGTGTGGTTGGCAACCCGTTTGCCAAGCGTAGCAACTACTGACAAAACTCCTCTTTGACGGGAGGCCTATGTTTAGTGGATAGTTACCGGTTATAATAAAAATCATATTAAAATGATAATTTACTTGAATTCTCGCAAGATTTTGATCAAGTTATATCAGCTGTGGATCGCTTTAATTTCAGGCTCTTAAAAACATGTCACATTTATTCCACATATCCCTACTGGTAGCACAATAGTAGGTACAGATTGGAAAAAAATCCACTCTTTACCCTCAGGGGGGAAACCTTAGTAGGGACAAGTGAATCTAGCCGATTTTATGTCTCCGTGCTCTCTAATTTCCCTTCCATATTAGACCCTATAAATCGAAACACATTCGTGTAGGTACTACTTGGTGGTAGAAACATGAATGCGACCCACAGAAGTCTCCCTATAGTTGTTTTTTTTTGTGCTTTTGTTTTAATTGTAGATATCTCTGTTTTTCTGGCTCAAAATTTGTAATTAAATTTTCAAGCACTCAATCAAACTGGTGTCAGATTTAATTGAAATTTGGTATAGTATAAGGTCAAAGTGAAATTTTACGTCTATTCTATGTGTGTGAACTACAGTGATAATTTATTTAATATATATTTCGCCTTATAAAGCTTATCTGACAAAGGAGCAAAAATGTATGAACATTAAGAGCTTTGTAAGAAAACAATGTAGCGTGATCATTCAGTTTTTGCTCGATATGGTCTATCTATCTAGATATGGTCTCAGCTGACAACTTGATCAGGGTCTGATCTGTGTCTTTTGTTTGAACCTACATGTTTTCCAATAAAAATAATTTTGACTGTTTTGAGAAATTTCTCTCTATTTGTTTTTATTATTATTATTTCAACCATCAACTGTCTATTGCTGAACATAAGCCATCCCCATAAGGGGAGATTTGCCAGTAGTTACCACGCTAGGCAAGCGGGTTAGCAACCGTAGTTAGACTTTCAGAGATGTTTTAAGAGACGCTACTGCCCATCCCTAGACCTCCCTTAGTCCCCTCTTACGACACGCTTGAGAAGGAAAGGGGTGGCCCATTCTATTCTGGTGGATACGCGACGATTTTATACTCTATTTTATATTTCCGATAAATAATCAAAATGACAATAAAATTACTAGCTGTATTCTGCGGCTTTGCCGCATGAATTAATACCTATATAAATATATAAAGTATTATACGTAATAAAGTAGAATATAGTCTAACCATATGCTAAATTTCATTCAATTGTATTTAACAGATTAAGCGTGATTGAGTAACAAACATACAAGCACCTTTACAAACTTTCACATTTATACTCGTAATACTTTATTTTTTATACTTTAAACTGTATACAGAAGTTGGTTTTACTTACGTGTGGTGCCACCGATACAGAATTCTCAGCGAGGGCGCAACTCTGTCGATGTTGCTGTTGAAACTTGGGTTGATATGGCTCCAACATCCTGAATATATATTTCGCGCACTTTTATACTTGAAATCATTGACAAACAGATGACTACATACGAGTAGATACCATGCACTATGAGAAAGCAAATAACATTATTATGTAAAAAATATCTCAAAATCCATGATAATTTTAAAAGCTCCACAAATTGTTAATGAAATAAATAATAAAAATTAATCTATATCCCTTTTACTAGCTATAGAACTTCCGTATAGTTTGATGTGAAGTCATATCTATGATTATGCATGCAGTAATTGTTAATTTAGTACTGCACGTACTAGATTAAAGTATCGCCTCACAATTTCTATCTTAATTTCCTTTTCTTTATATTTATTTAGTATGTAAGGTAACATTTATCCCATACTAATAGTCAGTTGCTAATTAGTTGCAAGTCAGTTGCCAATCAATTGTTAATCAACTGAAATATATGTCACTACCAAACTCGTCGTATTAATACATCCCACTCTTTAATGTCGTAGTACGGTTGATATTAAGCCTATTATAGTAATTCATAAAAAGTTTTACTGGTTACGCTATAGTATCTTCTATCTAGGCAAAACAGGCAAACGTTTTATCAATGGTGCTCCTTTATTAGAAGGGATAGTTTACACACACCCAGATAAGAGATGGAATACTTGAAGTTACAGTATAAGAATGCTCCAATTGGACGTATATGCAAGTTTGTGGTTTCCTACGACCATTTATGTGCGATTTCTCTATATCAACGTGTGTTATGTGGACTTCTGTGGAGTCTCCTACACACTGCACCTTAGAAAGATGCGTAATTAACATTTTAGTGATATATTCTGTTATTTATTTTTCATTGCTATATTTTATTGATATCATGACGACGGTCGCCGGCTATATCCATAGGAGATAAGATAATGCCGTAAACATTTAACATATGCTTAAAATCTGTACCTACATACTATCGTAGTTAACAGATGACTCAGAATGGAAGAAGTATAATATTTGTTAGGGTGTATCAACAATAGTATTTTTGTGTGTGAAGTTTTGTCTAAGACACTAAGATTGATCAAAGAAAACAGGCGATCTACGTACAGTTTATAGACGCACCTTATCTTGCCCCATCGGTTGAAGAAGAGGGCTATGGCAGCCACCCATAGTAGGAGGACGAATGCAACAATCAGTGCCTCTTCCGCCCTCACTACCACGCCACTGCCATCTGGTGGGAAAATATCATAACCTAAAATAGGTACATTGCTTATCATCTACTTAGGAAGAATATCTTCTGGATTGTACGGTAAGAAAAACCCAGAGGATCTATTTCCAATAAAGCTGATGAAGTAGATATCAGGCTCAGCTATGAACTGAAGCAATGATCCAGAGGTAGTAATCTCAGAGATAGCTGGAGCAGGAAATTTCTTTATCTATATTCATCAATAGCACCATGGACATCACAAAATGTACTACGTTGTCCATGGTTCCCCTTATATCTTGACAATTCTGAGGACCATGATGTTATTTATATCCCCGAACTCTGTAGTTTTACTGCCTTATTCTTCGTATAATTTGGACATCATAAGAGGCGACTAAGGGATGGCCAGGAATGGGCAGCAGTATCACTCTTAAAACATCTCTAAAACCTATCTACGGTTGCCAATCTGCTTGGTAAGTGTGGCAACTACTGGCAAATCCCCAAGGGGAGGCTTGTGTTCAGCAGTGGACAGTTTAAGGCTGATATGATGATGATGGTAATTGCCATTCAAGCATAACTATTTCACAGCAGTAACATGGATAGTATAAGGGCACCTCTGCAGGTGACTTTTACAAAATTTCCCTCAGGAATAGATATGAAGAAAAGAACCTATTTGTATAATTTCAAGATTATAAATTCCGCAGTTTCTTTTAGATTTCCAATATATACTGACGTACATGACCCATATAAGTCAATCAATCAGTTCATCAATGAATCAATCAACCAGTCAATCAATTAATAAACTATTTCATTTTGTGACTAACAGGTATATAATATACATACGATGTGGTGGTAAGACACTATTTACTCCTTTATCATAAATCTTATAGCCATGTCAAATATATAGATCAATCCTTTATATATAGATTTGAAGATACCACATCTACAAATACAATATAAATATACATAGTACCAGTTAGTATGATTAATAGAGTTATATGGAAACCGTCTAATTCGATTATATGTCTGACATTTGGTGAATGTTTGCCACAGATATCATATTTCTATTGTTTGGACGTCGAAATGAAATCTAACTTGCCGGAAATAAAATATCCCTCTGTCCAATTTCATTCTCATATATGATTGTACATATATGTAGGTATTGAATTTATACACGTATTTCAAACACGTTGCAAACTGTCGATTGAGTGGTATTGAAAAGATTATTGTATAGTAGTAGTATCATATAAAATATATCTCAATATTTTGCGAAAGAATTCTTCTTTAAATATCGATAAATATTAATATAAGTAGACTGTATAATAATAATTATTATATAGGCTACTTTTTAAATAATATTATACAGTGCATGGGATGAAGAAGGTTCATCTATACTAAAGAAGTACACATTTACACATTTACATAGTATACATACAAAAATTACAGTTAAAATAAGTATTTAACTATAATATTTAATAGTTATGGTTAAAAATAGATTATCAACGTTTAAAACACGTTTGTCTAGTCTCTCTGCGGTTTCCTTTGTAACAGCAACAATAAATACAAACCTATAGGGAATTTATCATTGATCTGTGAAAGATTAATCAGATCAACTGTTCAGTATAATCGATCTATCGTAACATTTATAGCATCAAATTAAGTAAAACCACAAACCTGATAACGTTGCACGACCGGATTTGGATAACTAATTGAAACTTTGTGTACTCAGATAGTTCTCTGCATGACCTCTGTTCCCCACGAGGTGTGTTTGTATGGCTGTTTCAGTTTGATGAGGAAAATGTAGTAGTGAAATTAATTGGTACATGTAACACCCTAATTCTCAGAAGTGGCAACACACGAGTATTACGACGACGAGAATAACTGAGGGCCTACCATGATATGTTTTCCGAAGTTTTGAGGCCGAATGAAATACAAATTTTATGTTAAAATTATATAGCAGGTATAATACATACCATTTAAAGATATTAAAAATATTAAAATACTATTCCTTTGGACTTTCATGGTAGGATTTATGGCGAACAAAATGTTAAGCTACAATACATTTACTGGGCCGACTTCGGTATTACAAAAATATGAAATTGTGTCCAAGAATTTGGAATTTCATTTCATGGTAGACCCGCTATTCTCCAAATACAGTCTCGACCCTTACGGGGACCGTAAGTTAAGGAATTCTGTAATCATATTTAAGTAGATTACTATTGTATTAACTTAGAAAATTATTATTAATATTGCATTACATTCTGTGATGTTATAAACATCACAGATGTTAACTATTAAACTTTCTCGCTGCATGTTTTATAATTTATAAGAAATAGCAATTAACGTGATCATTTTGGTAAACTGTGATAGTTTATAATGTTGTTCCGGTTCATAGGCGACGGTTACCGTTATCCATCAGGCGGATAATGACCCACTAAGATAATTATAAAATACTATACTAACAAGATATAGAAACTAAGGGAACAAGAAGATAATGAAAAATGTTTCATTAGCTTACTCATATTTTTTAACCGACTACAAAAAAAAAGAAAGAACTGAAATATATTTTTTATGTTTGTTACCTCATAAATCCGTCAATTGTAAACCCATTTAGGTATTTTATTTTTTTATCTGAAAGGATATACTCACAGATTTGTCTAGAAACTTGATAAAAATCGATTCAATAGTTTAGTTTTTAAATAATATATTTGTTGCTTAGTTTCAGATTACATTAAGTATCCTAGTTCGAGGACCGAACGTTAGGTGTCATTATATAACACTAATTACTATTATTTTTGGAGAAAGGGATTGCTGGTAATGCGTCCGCATTACTATCAGTCCCATTCTTGACATACCCTGTCAAGTCGACCTCCACGTGGTCCCTACTGTAAACCATCGTGTTGAACTGAAAGAGTATTCAACATGATGGGCTAACTGTCCTGCCTTTTCATTCTTACTTATTATCCCTCACTGGTACCCTGCCAGCGTATACTATTAGCGCAGGCGGGGTAACCATTCCATTATCACCCATAAATAAAATTTACTATTATTTCGAATTGTATAAAATATTTCATATTATCAATCTAGAAATATATTTAGACGTAGCAATTATTGTGTGTCTATTGTTTTGACATTTGAGTTCCCCTTTATTTGATAATTCGATGGCCTGAATTGATTGGAGGCGTTGTGTTATTGGCATTTCATCGATAAGGGTATCAACCTATCGGAACGAACTTTGATTTTATTATGAGCTACTCTATTTATTCGATTGAAAACAAAAGTGGGGCAGCGTTGATTGCCAGACTAGAAGTTTTTAATAAATGATAATAATATAGTAACTCCTATATTTTAATTTAGTTTACTTCGATTGAGGTACCAATGAGTGATGATGAGTGAGAATGAAGATATGTCAGTTGAAACATCATGACGTATTTGCCAGGAATCGGTATTGCTTGAAGGTCGACCTGACTGAATATTGATAATTAAAAAAAATAATTTCAGCTGCGTATAATCATATGTTGTTTTTTACGACAACATCAAAATGAGACTAGCATGGCATAAATTACTATGGAATGCAAAAGTAATAATCAAAATAGCTACTATGGAGAAATAGTGTAAATTCCGTCAGACCTGTAGTTGTTTGGAGGAAATAAATAACAACTAACTTGATTATATTATTGATTCACATATAATGAGAGAATGACACCAGAAATGAATGTAGAAAGTAAACGTCGCTGTCGTGTCTGTACGTTCAGTCCGAAAGATAGAAAGAGGTGAAATATCTATCTACAATTAAATTAACCTACTTGATGGAAAAGAAAGTAATGATGTTGACAAGTGGCTATGAGATGAATATTTACAATATTTATTTACAGACGCCACAGACCCATACTTACCACAATACTACCTAGCAGCGCAACCGCATGATGTTAGCGCAACTGTGACGTATTGGTCTCGGGATGGTTTGTAGAATCATCTGCTGTAATGTTGGCACAGTATACCTACAGTGGGAGCATTGTAGCGGATGCACCATACTACTTTTGTTATACCATAAAATATGGTTTTATTCGCTTAACGGATGCTTATGTTTTGCGCTGTGGATAACTATAATTGGCTAGCATGTAGTAAATACAATGTAATATGTATTCAATTTTGTAAAAAGCTGTTGTCATTCCAAATAAAATAAATAAATAGAATTAGCAAAGGTATTGCGTAGCGAATATTCACAATTCTCAACTTGTCTGAACATAGACTTATTATAACGTACTGCACGAGAGTCTGAATTACGTTTTCCACTTCAAAAAGTTTCCCAGTGTGAACCTTTTTAATGAGAAATAAGGTTTAAAGCACTCCCATAATTAAGACGGATTAATCTTAATTGTGGGGTACTTTAATCTCTTTAAATAGGATGTCATTAGATTTGATTAGAATCCATTTTTTAAATGCTCTTAAACCTTTAAGTTACACTTTTAGCCAACAATTTGTATTCACTATATTGTTAATTTTATGATTTCTGATTGTATCTCTTATCTTGAATTTTATGGATCGTAGATTTGTAACTTGTGTTGTCTATAATGAATTTGGGTTACACAAAAAAACCGACTTCAATGATGATAAGCACTAGAGGGACAAAAAGGGACTTTGTACAAAAGTACCAGAGGGAGACTTTGTACAAAAGTACCAGAGGGAGACTTTGTATAAAAGTCGATTGCTAGGGTACCTCTGTCCATTTGTGTTTCTACTGTGAGGCAGTTGTGTTTGCATGGCTGTGTTTCGGTTTGAAAGGTGGGATATGGCGTGAATTTACAGGGTACAGAGGAATAACATCTCAGTCCTCAGGAATGGCAACGCATGGGGGATATCATGGGCGTAACAGTATACTCTGTTATGTCCATGGTACTGCTCATGTCTATAGGCGATGGTTACCACTTTCAATCAGGTGGGCCGTCAGCTTGTTTGCCATTCTGAGTTGTATAAAAAAAAAATGATAAAACCAATTATTTTGATTTATAAACTAAATTAGAGATTTTAATAATATTTATATGGGATCAATCTGTAAATATATCTATTCGGATAAAGAAGAATTTTCTTAATCGGTTTACAACTGACGAGAGTTATGAGGTAACAAACATAAAAAAATACACACTCGAATTGGGAACCTCTTTTTTTAAATCGGATGAAAATATTATTTTCTACGAGAAAAGATCGTTCTAATTTAAAATTGAGTGGCATGATGATGTTTGGATTAAAATAAGAAATAGAAAAATGCTAATTCATGAAGTACTAGCTGTATTCCTCAGCTCTGTCCGCGTGAATCAGTATTTAAAGTATTTTATGTGCTATGTTAGGATATAACCTACCCATGTACTAAAATTCATTAAAATCCATTTAGTAGTTTTTGCGTAAATGAGCAACAAACATCTATTAATTTCTCCTTACAAACTTTCGCATTTATTGATAGGATAATTATTCGTCCAATAATCTACTATCAAACAATTTCATCAGATATTTTCTATCAGGATACTTCATATAAAATTTGCGTGATCCATGACTGTCACAAAATTAAAATATATAAATAAATATCGTTTGTAAACAAGTATTGTATGCGTATGCACCATGTTTTATTCTTATCACAAAGCGTAGTTCGTTCCTTTTTCAAATGGTTACATTCATTCAAGTCACAGACAGAGTAAGGTCAGATCCAATTAGATTAAGCATTTTTATTTTTTAGGTATGGAACCTTGAAAAGGTAAAATATGAATAAACCGATACAATGGAGATTTTAATTCGTTCGTGCGTGCGGCACGCGGGAAATATTGAACGGTGTTCGGTGAAACTAAGCACAGTAACTTGAATTTCAAATTAATTTTTGAAGTGACTTCTATTATTATAATGATATTAAATTGAAATTACAAGCAAATTGATACATTTAATGTAAAGTAAAAAATGATTTTAAAAAAAATAAAATTACAACAGCGGCAAATAAGTATATTAATGGTAATTAGTCACTGTTAAAGTGCATGTTTTTAAACTTAAAGAAATCTTAATACATCCTCGTGGAAGAACCGAAATAAAACTGACTAGAAAAACTCAGCAGAAAGCTCACTTTACATTCATTTGGTTAGAGTGGAAGATAAACTACAAAAAAATGAGCGTAATTTTAAAACCAATCGACACAAAAAATATTACGAAGGAAATGATATAAATTTTTTTTTATGATTCTGATATTTTGTGGCAGAGTTCATTACGTACGAAGCATCTCACTTCGTCGTCGCATCTAATTTTAGTATGAATGTATCTCATCGTCTCATCATTGACACGACACGAAATTGGTAACCGAAATCACAATTAGGTTTTATGGTAGACCTTCAGCTTAGTTTAGGACTATATGATATGGTCAAGACGATTTATTTATTTAAGGTTATATATACTAATAATAGTTATTGTAATAATAATTTTAGATATTAAACATTTCTAGATTGACATCGTAATATGATTTGACTGGGAAACTTTCTGCTATTTTAGCAGAATTTAACATTCCATATTTTTATCATGCCAGCTGTTAACTGACCACTGCTGAACACATTCCTTCCCCTTGAGGGGTTTTATTTATTTGTTTTTACTTATTTATTTAAGGCAAACAGACAGCTATAACAATACATAATTACACAAATAATAATTTAAGAGCCACTAAAGTTTGCACAAATGAATAGTACAAGTGAAGAAAACAAAATTAAACAATACCATTGAAAACTATAGCAATATTGTAACAAATTTGCCAGTAGTTGCCATACTTAACAGGCGGATTGGCAACTGTAGTTATGTCTAGGCTTTGGTAATGTTTTAAAATGGACGCTGCTGCTTATCTCTAAATAATTAAATAATCGTCTTATGCATTATATTTAAATTATTTCAATTAATAAAATTTATATTGGAATGACAGAAGAGTGATAGAGGTAGATAAATAATTCTAGCCTTTATTTCGATAAGGGAAGGTAATTTTAGAACACCTAAAAGGTAAATTACAGAAAAAATAAATTAAGGTTTCCATGATCAAATTATGTGATCACAATCTAGGCTTCAAGGCCCAAAGTCAACTTGATGTTATGATTGAACCTAATTATCTTTGATAGTGTTTGATAAAATATTTTTTTTATTACGCAATTTTGGGAAATGAAAAACAATTTTTTTTCATAAAAAATTTTAATCTTTGATAGTGTTTGATAAAATATTTTTTTTATTACGTAGTTTTGGGAAATGATATACATTTTTTTTTTCTCCAAAAAAACATATACTTACGCGACTTTTTAATTGATTTTTAAGTAAAAAATTAACTTGTTAAGATTTGGATTAATTTTAGGAGTTAATTGCTTGTATTTGCTTGCAAAGGGGTTTAAGTACGTACTCCAAGGAAGTTCAATTACAGTAAACAATTTAAATACGAATTAGAGAAAAGAAGGGAACACTCAAATGCATTAACTTAAGTGTACATAGATGTACATAGATTTATTTCTAAAAGGAATTTCTTTTAATTTATGACAAGGCAATTTTGTACGACAAGGTCTTTTACCTAAGTAAGTTTCTGACCTTTTCTTCTAGATTCAAACCATACCATTTTACATTCTGAACTGGAATATAAATTGATTTTATCATCATGACATTCGATAATAAATTATAGATCTTTTATCTGATAATGATTTTGTTGTTCCTTTAAACTTATCTTCTAATTTAATATTTTAATTTGATGGTTTTAGGATTATACAACGAATTGGTAACCGCAGTTAGTACTGCGGTTGTCAATCTGCCTGCCAAGCATAGAATTTATTGACAAACCCCTCTCCTCTCCAAGGGGAGGCTTATGTTCAGCAGCGGACAGTTAACGGCTGATATCATCATCATTATCACTGTTTTATGGATTATTATAATTTAAATTAATAATAATTTTGACTTCTGATAAAGGTCCTTGCAATAAAGATTTCAGTGCGATATTAAATTCAAATTTTAATTTTAGAATAAGTTTAGGGAAATGGCGCCTCAAAATTGGCCCAAGATCAACTTTGTTAAATTATCTATAGTTTCTCATTCTTTGATTGTTAGGGCCTGCGTAGTGAATTAAGCGGTGTTGCTGCATCTTTGACCGATTTTCTTGCTTGCCGCTAAGACATTCGACAGAAAAACCTGACGACCTTTTACAAAACAAAGATCTTTGACGAGGACCGAAATAAAGACAGACATCTTATTGACATTATTTAAATACTTTAGTAAGACGACCTAATTTCAACCTTCTTCCGACCTACGACCTTTCAAGCGGCGTGATGCGCGCTTGACGTGCGCATGTTTTACTACTTGTAAAAGTGTCTAACAGAGACTTACAAAAGTTATGGTCACAAGATGGTCTATTACAACTGGCATGATACATTTATAACGTCAGATGTACTAACGTTTGAAAAGTGGTTGAAAATTTAGCGACTGAAAGTATTCCTACCGTAGTGTAATTGGAAACACACTCAGTTCAGATAGCAAAGAGATGTGCGTTCGAATCCCACCGGTTCAAGTCGTCTGAAGGTATTTTTTCATCTTATTTATAGTTTTTGGTGAAACACACGCCCTTGACAATGAATTCGATTCTTTAGGACGTTTAGATTATTTGAAGCCGTTACACTAACCGATGTCAACTAGCGATACGTTGGCACGTGCTGTGGAGGAAGGTGAGGGATGCAGTCGTAGCACCACCTCTGCTGGTGGTCCGCCCGTTGCTCCACTCCATTCTGTGGAAAATTTTGATGAATTAAAAATAATGCTCTTCCGTACAATGCATAGGTATAAATCTGATATAGGCAGAGTAATAATATATCTTATATTAGTATCGCTACGCTCTTTCCCTATAACTTAATAGTAGACATCACTACAAGCTGTAACATCTGGGCACCATGGTTTAAATCTTTTACGTATCATTTATGATTATTATTTATATATCAGCCGTTAATTGTCCACTGCTTTGTCTATAAGGGAGGCTTTGCCAGTAGTTAGCTCACTTGACACGTGGGTTGGCTTTAAAATGAACGCTGCTGCCCATCCTTTAACCATTAAGTTCTCTTAGTCGCCTTTTACGACACCCACTGCAAAGGAAGAGGTAGCCTATTCTATGCCAGGACCAATCGGCATTTATAAATACAAACTGACAATTTCAGACTCTTGAAACTGCTCTACTTTGATAAGCATGAGTCAAGATCTGTTAATTTATCTTCAAAACTTTAGTTTTCTTGAAAATCATGTCTTTATATTATAAATAATAATAATTCCTCTTTATTGATATAAATAGTATGATTTAATTGATGTGCATTTATTAAATAGTGATGTCTTTCACTTGCGGCTTATGTTAAACCTATGTTTCAGAAGTCAATGTCTACACAACATTTTTCTCCAAAGTTTCATAATGATATAGATAGAATACTCTTTATTATTTCTCTATAAGATTACAGTAGTAAACTTATTATAAGTATAAACAATTACAAGAAAAGATCACACTGAGAAAATAACAGATATAGTTTAAAAATATTGCTGTGACAAAAATACAAGAAAACATAATGCCACTATAAGGGTTCTTGCCCAGAACTCCGGAAGTTACCAATGAGATAGAAGCGCAAAAAGTAATATTCCCAACTAACAAAGGCTTCGGTCACTGCGAAAGGACAATATCCCTCTTTATAAATAATCTGTGTCCGAAACTTAATGCAAGTAGAATTAAGTTTTGTGATTCAGATGGAATCTGATCAAACGTATTCTTACAAGGTCTGTAAATAGCTAAGCGGCTTTAATCAAGCGCGTAGATTTTTTTCTCATGCTAAACTGCTTAATAAATTATTATCTCAACACACTGAGTACCAAAACCCATTACACCTTTCCATTTCTTAGAATTAAGGTATACGCCCACGTATCTTGTAACCTCACTGCCAGTTTTCGCTATTTAAACCGAAATACAGCCAGCGGCAGTAACGAGAGTGCAGAGGTACCCATATAATCCTATATCTATTTCCAGCAAAATACGAGTAAAGCGCGGTTTGATAATAAGGTGACTAGATTGACGTGCATATCTCAACTATTCGCACCATGTATGAACCACATTATGTCAACGATATAGAAATTTTAACAAAATCACGTTCTGTATGATTTGAGATTTCAATTTAATGTATAACATATTTTTATATATTTTTAGTAGCAAACAAGCTCACTCTCTAAAATTTGCTGTCATCTACAAAATTCAACCATATCGTTAAAGTTAGAGATGTAACCCTATTGAGGACTGGCCATTCAAAGTCAGTTTAATACAGATTACATTGAACATCTTGTAAGTTAGACCCAATCTTAGCAACCAATTGTTGCTGCATCAAAATAGAAATAGGATAATCGTTTTTACAGATGAGTAAGTTGTAGTAAGTACTGGTGCAATCTGCTCACATACTGTGATTTTTTTTTAAGAAATTTCAACTGAACGAAAAAAAAAATTTGAAGGAAATACAATGACAGTGGTGCAATTTCGATTGTCTGGATGCTTTATGATCTAGGGTTTATAAAAAACAAAGCATCATTAACCGCAAACAGTTGCTGGATGAAAGTAGTACTTTGTGGCCAAATATGAGTTCTGTGTTCAACAGTGGACGACGGTAGATGAGTTGTAAAGACGTATGTTGATCTATAAACTGACTTCTACATCAGTGTATCTTGACATATGCATAAACTTCGGGTCCAAAACTTCGAGTTAGGTTTCATGGTAAAACTATTATTTTTATGTATATTTTATGATACATTAGAAAGGCAAACAATCTGACAACCCACTTGCAAGAAAATGGTAACAATCAGTCAAGAACACGAATAGCATTATCACAGATAATATTACTATGCCCATGGTATACCTCATACGCTGCCTTTTTTAATTACTATGGTTTATGTTTTAATAGATGAAGATGGAATGGTGTACCCGTCTATATTAACGGTACATAATGTCAGGGTACCAGTGGAGAATGAAATGAATAGATATGAAAGTAGAACTATGGGAATTACTTCAGCACCCTGAAGTTTCACTGTCATATCTCATGTTTCAAATGGGAACTGTTATATGATTTTTTGAATGATTGAGATTGATGATTGTGTGTATACCATAAGAGCTAGCAACTAAGAGAAGCTTTACCGCTCTCACCGGCGGAGATGCGCGAGGGCAACGGCGCAGTGTGTGACCGCTTCGTGGACGACTCCTCAGGACCGTCTGTCGCGCTGGTTACTGAATCTAGAAGAAATAGGTGTTAATATTAATAATATTAGAACCCGCGACTTCGCTTTTGTGAATAGGATATATTCCTTAAGCAAATATAAACTATACCCATCTTGATTCTCATATAATATGTGTATATCAAATTGATGGAAGAAAAGGAAATAAGCTGACATCTCACATATAGATACACATGAACAAACATGGTCATAACAGAGTATTTTGTGTTGCCCATGATAACCTTCATGTGTTGTCATTCCTGAGAACTAAATTATATCCTGTATGTGGTATCATTGCCATATCCCACCCTTCGAAATAAAACACAGACATACAAACACAACTGCTTCTTTACGAAAGGGAGAAACAAACAGAGATTCTGTACAGAGCCTCTAATAAAATAATGTAGAGTAACCATATTCTAGAATATTCCAAATGTGAATCTAAATATCACTCGACAACAAAAACGATTAAAAAATAATAATAGGACATTTCTTTTGTCTACTGAAGTTAAAAAAGTCATAGTCTCCATTGACCTAAATAATCATATAGCTAATAAATTAATGACAGTAGGTAATAACTATGTTTCGAATCATGTCAACTTACAAAAGAAACGTAACTTCATTTGTATCTTTATTTTTTATGTTCTATACATAGATAGACACATTTATTAGTAAAATATTGGTATATTATGCTTATTATAAAATACATATATTCCCATTGTAGTCTGAGGTATACAAATTTATTGATGATGTAATTTGGTTAGTATTATAGACATGGTATGTAATTAATTGCCCTGTGTTCGGTATTTTTTTTTATATTTTTTTTTATACCACTGAGGTGGCAAACAAGCATACGGCCCACATAATGGTAAGTGGTTACTGTAGCCTATGAACACCAGATATAATACCAGAATACCAGAGGTAATACGCGTGCGTTGCCGACCCTGAAGAAACCCCCCTTTGGAAGAACCCCATGCCATAGTCTCTTGGGAAAACCTTGGCAGGAAGCTCATTCCACAACTTGAGTGTTCGTGGGAGGAAACATCTCTGAAACCGCGCAGTACGCGATCAGCTTTTTTTTATGTACTAGCTTTTACTCGCGACTTTGTCCGCGTGACCGGGATATGTACATTAGCTAGGAAAAAATGTAGTCTATCTACTTCTATGTCCTATACAGTACGCGTCCAATATAATAAACAGTTTTAAGGGTTGACTATAAAATTCAGTAACATTTCACGGTGATTAGTTGAGCCAAGATAAAAACTTTTTTATGTTACTTAGAATGGCAAACAAACTAACGGCCCACCTGATAGAAAATGGTAACCGTCGTCTATAGACATGAGCAGAGCCATAGACATAACAGAGTATACTGTTTTACCCATTATACGTTGCGTTGCCATTCCTGAGGACAAGAGTTTATATTCACGATATTTATTTGTGAAACATGCGTACAAATCGCTAGAAGCTAACAAACAAACTATCACATTTATAATTTTAGTAAGAACTAAATTGACATCGTTTATGGCGTTTTCTAAACCATTAAATAAAATAAAACGATAGCGTAAAGTAAGCACGAGTAGAATAAAGTATAATGAACTGATATACTCATATTTAGGATAAAAGCCCTTGAATAATAAAATAATAAAGAGTCCTTTTAATTAATTTAATAAAAATTTAAATCGGTACGATATTTTGAGAGAATACCCAATAATATTGAAGTCGGCTAAGAAAACCTATTACTCCTGTAGCAACATAATTGCACATTTAATGTTAACCAATCCTAATTCGTATTTACAGAACTACCATTATACTCATATAAGCGTCGTTTAAATTTTATATGAAACCACCGTATGTTGTTACCATCCAACAATTAAATATAACTTTACATTAATTTAAACTACCGCACTATGCCATAAAAATTAATTTCCCCAGATTGCGTCGCCAATTAAAATGATTTGAAAATTTGCGAACTTGTATTTCAGGTTGGTAGAAGGTTTATGACATTACTAGCTGTCTCCCACGGCTTTGTTCGCGTGATTCAGTTAGTATAACAAAGTATCCTATGTGCTAAGTCCTAGTACCTATTAATAAAATTTGGTATAGGAAAATATAACATATATAACATAAGACCACCGATACCTACTTTATTTAATGCAAATAAATTTATTATTATTATTAGGATATAATCTATCCCTAAACCAAATTTTATTTAAATCCGTTTAGTACTTTTTGCGTGAAATAGCTTCAAATATCCACCCATCTATCTATGCATTCATCCATCAAATTTTCGCATTTACAATATTATGGCTGTGTGGTTTTAGCAAAGAATAGGCCACCCCTTCTTTCCTGTGAGTGTCGTAACTGTGGGGGACGACTAAAGGAACTTAATGGTAGAATGATGGCAGCAGCGTCCCTCATAAATATTTCTAAACGTCTAACTGTGGTTATCAACCCGCCTGCCAAGAGTGGCAACTTCTGGCAAAACTCCCCTTATGGAAAAGTCTTATGTTTAGCAGTGGACAAATAACGACTGATATACCCTTTTTTTAGAAAAAAATAGCTATCCAATTTTAATGCATAAATAGTTTTTCTAATTCGACTAACTTTAACAAACTCTTGCACTTGTTTAGGTATATTAATAAATAATAAATAGTTATGTACAATAAAGATTTTTACAATTACAATAACAATTAATATAGATGTACATAACAAAATTTTTTTTTCATTGTTCTTTGTAGAATAAAAATAGCTTACTTGTACTTTGATTGTCATTTCTACGATATTAATTTAACGTGGTCGCATAATAAGCAAAGATAATTTATTGGTCACAAATAATACTTAACTGAACAAAGCGAAGTATGTTCTCAAAAGCATTGGACTAAGTTTATAACATAAATCAAAAACTTCACATTCGAGCATGACCTCTAATAACTTTAAGCTGTAGTAAGTTTAGTTTTATTGAAACTATTTATTTAATTATTACCTTTTTCCTATGGCTTCGTCCGCGTGATTGGGATATGTTCATTGACCAGGATAGAGTCTTCTTCAGCCTATATAGTGTGTTTGTATCATTTTTTATAACAATTAATTAAATTATTAAGTCGCCAAGACATTAAACAAAATAAACTCATTTTAAAATAAATTTCTTTAGTCTTTATTGCAATAAACAAAAAAAAAAAAAACATGCAATATGTAAGGAGGGCCGTCAGCTTGTTTGCTATTCTAAGTCGTATAAAAAAAAAGTTAGGTAGGCTGGGTGGTGCAACCCAAACTCTTCAATAATGCACTTATTATTTTTATTACGAGTAGAAATAGCAAAATTGTACACGACATCTATTGCAATGAATCAATACAATAAAAAAGGGCGGGAAAAGAATATATCTCTTGCGTTACCAGTGTTGCCAATTTTATAAGTGAAAAATTGCTAGTGTTGCCAACATATTACACTAATAATGTACAAACAGAGGAAAAAGTAAGAAAGTAATAGCTATTTAATAACAAAAACATGTAATAAAAAATACTCATATTTTAGTAATACTCGCACATACTGCTTGTTATTTTATGCATACATAAATTTATAATGTTTATTAAAATTTTATTTACAATGTATCTGCCGAATATCAGTAATTTTTTTTCTTTAATAACTCGTACTACCTTCCAACTTTATTATCAGATTAGCTCAGTAGAACTGTACTATTATAATACAATTAAAACATATACTTTAATGTCCGGAAGAAATGCACAGATAAATCTCGCAAGTTTACAGTGCTTTTATAAAGATCACCATCGATTTTGGAACACGCCCAGTTGCAATTTGTACTTTTGTTCTATTTATTTTTCTTCCGAAAGCTGTAAAAATATACGTAGTTCGCGTGGCGACAAGGAATAAACTCTTTTCGGCCAGTAACCTTGTAAATGTCAAACACGAGTGTTTGATTTGGTAAAAATAATAAATATTAAAAAAAAATATATTTTCGGTACTTATTATAAAAACAGATTAATCTCCATCAATTGAAAAATAATTATAAAATAATATGTGATATTAATAATATGTTGGTAGAGGTTATATTGTAAAATAAAACAAAAGAGGTTATATTGTAAAATAAAAAAAATTAAACAATCAAACAATCGATTTTTTTTTGTATAATACAAAAAGTTAAATGTGTTGGACATCAGCGAACTATCTTTTGATCAGGTAAGTTACTCTTTTGTGTATATTTTTCAATTGACACTACAAAAAAGGTGATTCTTAATTCGGTTATATATATTTTTATGTTTATTACCGTATATCTCCGCCATTTGTAAACTAAAATTAGAAAATTATTATTTTATCTGAAAAGATATATTTTCAAATTGATCCCATAGAAATTTTACCAAAATTGATTTAAATGGGTTTAAGATTTAAAATAACTGTTTTTTTTTACGTCGTCGTCGTCGTCGTCTAAATCAAGCCGTACATGAATGTCGTATGGATCGCACAGACGTAAATTAAGTTATTTTCTATAAAAACAAGCCCGTATGTCTTCGTATTTATGAACATTATGTCGTCTGTATTAGTCTATATTACACGCCCACAGTTTACTATATACTATATATAGGTATACTTATATTAATAGCGGATTGTTTCGAAAATTCAGACTTGGATATTCATTTGTTTCATCCAGTGTTGGATGTAGGCCTTCCTCAATGCTTTTGAATATTTACAATCCTCCGCTTTCCGCACTGGAGACCAAACATTATTGATCCTTTTCATTGGAGAGTTTTTGCTCATAAGTCATTACGCACATAAGACTTCCATATGAACGATGTAAACATGAACCTGACAAAGTAAAACAATGAACATGTTATCCAGTTTATTATTGCAATCATTCTACTTTTAGTGCCCTTTATGACTATGCTATAATAATGACATTGAGATGCGGTCATCTCCTATAATACAAGATTATAGTTATTTTATTAGTCGCTCTACTGCTGACGGCTAAAAAGTGAATTCGCTGTAATAAAGACCCGGATTATTGA